TTATATTATATTATATTATATTATATTATATTATATTATATTATATTATATTATATTATATTGTGTGTGAAGGTCAGAGGACAATAGGGAAATTTCTCTTCCTTCCATTATGGGCTTCATCTTGGCAGCCCACATTTTTATTTTTATTTTTTTGACATGGGGTCTCACTTTGTAGCCTAGTCTGGCCTTAAATGCACGTAAATCCTTCTGTCCCAGCTTTCTGAGTGGTGGGATTACAGATATGAGCCAACCACATCGGGCCTCCATGTATTTTTAAGAAGTCGAAGGAAGCTTGTATTGGGGCATTCACAGGAGTTTTTGGATGTTCCAGAGGTCCTTGGTATGTTTGCCTAAGGATGAAGGAGTGGGATGTCGTTGTACCCAGAAGTCTGACCTCATTTCTGGGCTATATTTCTTTTGAAATATCTTGAGGCTCGGAGCATGGGGCGATGGCCTGAGTTTAGAGGCAGCCACCTTCTCTTGCATGGGGAAGTGCACAGAGCTCTTTTAGGACGCCCACACAGGGTGTCGTCTGAATGGCTCTCTTACTTCCTCCAAATCTCAGCATGTGAACAATGTGTCCCATTCTACAACCTTCCTGCCTTTCTTGTTTGGGGTGAGAGAGACGTGAGGTTTGAGTGGGACGTGGAGGACCCGTGGGGAAGAGGTCTCTGCCACCTCTTTGTCCTTGCTAACTCGCTAGACGCTCCAGGGTTGCAGAGAGCACACCCTTCCTCGGGGCCTCCTGCCCTGGGGCAGAGCTGACAAAGGAGATTCCTGAGCGAGCACCTTCTTATCACAGAAAGTGCTGAGCCAAGAGCTCCTAGCTGCCCCTTTCGAAGATGTGAAAGGCCTGTGAACCTTGGACCCAGAGGGTTGCTTAACACTCCTCTCCCTTTTCCTCACCCCTTCCTTTTCTAGCTCTCTCACCTCCTCCTCCCTTCTTGACCTGACTTAAATCCGGTAGGCATTTGTCTGTGTTTCCCTTTTACTGCTGGAAGAAGGAGGAGCAGCTAGACCACAGTCCTTGGAGGGTGTGTGTACCGCTTTGTCTCTGAACTGCTGCTGGCCATTGCTGTGGGAACCTGCTTCTATCCAGAGCCAGGGAGTGAGTGTGCCCCGCCGTGTCCACTTCTGAACCCTCTCTGCTCTTCTGCATGTCCAGTCACTTCCTAGAGCTCCAGAGCTTCTTGCTCTGGAGTTTCTCCACTTGTCTGGTTAAGCTCTTCCTCTTTTGTGCAGCTGTCTTGAGCTCTGTATCGCCAGGCATCTGTTGCCTGGCTTCGGCTCTTTCCTTTCCTTGGTTTGCTCTGGTATGTCTCCAGCAGTTCTATGGTGGGTGGGCAGCCGCCGTCCACTGTCTCCAGCCATCTCTGGGTTCTGCTGTGTCTTTGGGCCACTCTGCTGAAAGTTCATTCCTAGTTTTTGGCTGGTGTAGATGTGAGGGATTTGTGATGCTAAAGGCTGGGATAGGTATCTGGGAAAGGACCAGCAGCACAGAGAGAATTGCCTGTCTTTTTTTTCAGGATGGGTGGGGCCTCCTGGGCTCTGCCTGCAGGGAAGATGCCTGCTGACTATTTGTTAATGGATATTTCCGAGCAGGGAGGTGGCTGTACATCCCTAGCAGGAGCACTTTGAAAGCATCAGAAAGCATCAGGCTCGCACACAGACTCCTTAGGGGAAAAAGAGCAGCAAATCAGCAGAAAGAGGATCTAGCAAATTAGTCGATTTCAGGGCTGGTTCCTCTTGCAGACATCTTAGCACGGTGACTTTTGAAACTGAAATTGGAGGGAAGAGAGACTTTTTGGGAGGGTTGTGGGGTGGGGGTGGGGAGGCAGAAAAAGAGGTTCAAACCATGATGGTTGTATGGAGAGCTTCACAAACTGCCTCAAGCCTGTGTCCTGTGTCACAGTCGGCTCCGGCTTTAGCTGTCAGAAGAATAGGGTATGCTACATCCTAAGGACAAGAGAAAGACTGGTGCTTTTCAGGGGTAAGAGTCAAGTTGGGGTCATTTTGACAAGCTTTGGGGGAAGAGGTTTTTGGGAAGTCAGAGGCAAGAAAGATCTCCGCCGTGGTGGGTGCTGAGTGTGTCAGATCCCGTGGAATGGGAGGGACACTGCAGTTACCAGCCCGGTCTCCTTTCTTCCTCAGAGGGCAATGCAAGCAAGCTGGTGAAGGCCTTCCTCTTCTCCGCCATGGTCAGCAGCAGCACCAGGTATGAAGTGGCTCCCCAGCATGAGGCAGATGCCCCAGCTCGGGGCGATGGAGCCAGCCCAGCGTCCAAGCAGGTCCAGCTGAAGAAGGAGATCTCGGAGCAAGTCCAGCTGAAGAAGGAGATCTCGCTGCTTAATGGCGTGTGCCTGATCGTGGGGAACATGATTGGCTCCGGCATCTTTGTCTCCCCCAAGGGTGTACTCATGTACAGCGCCTCTTTCGGCCTCTCACTGGTCATCTGGGCTGTTGGGGGCATCTTCTCTGTCTTTGGGGCCCTTTGTTATGCTGAACTGGGTACCACCATTAAGAAATCGGGAGCCAGCTACGCTTATATCCTGGAGGCCTTCGGGGGCTTTCTTGCCTTCATCCGCCTCTGGACTTCTCTGCTCATCATTGAACCCACCAGCCAGGCCGTCATCGCTATCACCTTTGCCAACTACATGGTACAGCCTTTCTTCCCGAGCTGTGGCGCCCCCTATGCTGCTGGCCGCCTACTGGCCGCCGCCTGCATATGTAAGTAGAGATGGGCAGGAAGGGTGGCTGGGCAGAAGTGGGGGTGTGAGTCCAGTCATGGAGAAGGGGTTGGGAAATGAATGCCTATGACAGTGTTTTTTTTTTTTTTTTTTAAATTATTATTGTAAAAATTAATGTTTACTGTGGGACTATAGCTTAAAAAGCCCTCAAGTTGAGGCTCCGGGATTAACTGCCAGTACTACCCCTAAAAAAATCGTTTGGTGTGAAAATTCAGTTTAGCTTAGTTTAAAGGTTGCTGAGGAAGCTGGTTAGAGCGCTTGCCTAACGTGCAGGACGCAATTTTTTGATCCCCAGCACTGCATAAACTCTATGTGCACTAGCCTGCAACTCCAGCATCTGGGACATGGAGGCCTCTTGAGGGTCAAGAGTTCAAGGCCATTTCTTCCTCAGCAAGTTTGAGGCCAGCCTTGCCTACAAGAGATCCTGTCTCAAAAAGCAGTCAAACAGGTTGGATGTGATGTAATTCCACAAGGCAGCTAGGTGGGTTTCTGGGGCTAGCCTGGTCTGCATAGTGAAACCCTGTCTCAAACAAACAAGCAACAATTTAATACAGTGTTAAAAAAAATAAAGGAAGAGTCCGGCCTTGGTGGGGCATGCCTGTAATCCCAGCACTCAGGGAGGCAGAGGCAGGTGGAGCTCTGTGAGTTCCAGTCCAGCCTGGTCTACAGAGTGAGCTCCAGGACAGCCAAGGCTACACAGAGAAACCTTGTCTCAAACCCCTTCCCACAAAAAGGAAGAAAGGAGCTCACCTCATATTTTCCCTAACACTGGTTGCCTTGTAGCAATTGCGTGCCTTTCCTTGTTCTCCTTCAAGAATAGTTTTGGTCTGTTTGTCTTTCTAATGAAGTAGAGTGATACCATTGTACCTATAATGCTGTAAATTTTAGCATTTACCAGATTACCTAGCTGCAGGCCTGTTCTGGCCTTGGATACTGGTTCCAGTTTCTTAGATTTACAGGTGATCATGGTAATGGCGCATTTCATTAGTGATCCTTTATTCACTTTCTGGAGTCCATTTGGTCCCCTCCCATCTCCTCCCTTCCCTCAACTCCCCCCACTGCCATCCCTCTCCTGTTTCCTATTCCCCCATTCTTTCCTCCTCTTTTTTTCTGAGACAGGGTTGTACAGCACAGACTGACCTGGAACTCACCCTGTTATCCAGAATGGCCTTGAATTTGGCATCTTTAATGACTCGGCCTCTGAAGTACTAGGATTATAAACATGTACCACTGTGCCTGGTTCATGAGTGATTCTTTCTCCTCTCTTTCTTTCTTTCTTTCTTTCTTTCTTTCTTTCTTTCTTTCTTTCTTTCTTTCTTT